TTAAATTGCACCTTTTATTTTGGAGGAAGGGAAGTGAATCGTCCCGTCAATAAGCCAGCGTGGCAAAGGTGGGCTCCCAGCGCACGGCAGCCGCCGTCCTTGGCTGCTCCATCCCACCCGTGTGCCTCACACCCAACACCGTAACGCGTTGGCTCCGCGCTTTGGACCAGTGACCTCGGTCTGGGGCTCACCGGGAGCTGGCCTCAATCTCCCCTTTCCTGTGGGGAGATCACAGTGAGCTGCAGAGGCCACATCTGCGATGCTTCCAGCGCTAGCCATCCGGTCTCCTTTATCTCCTTGGCTTGCTTAAACAGGCTGTTACATTAAAAGTATATCTAAAAGCCAGTTTTGTTTTGAAAAAGTCTCTTTGTGCAGCCATTATTAGTACTGATTTCTTGTTGCGTTTTATCCTTTTTCTGCAAGATGATCTGTTCATAGATGTCAGTATTTACACTGGAATGTTACAGAGGAGAAATCATCTTGGATCATGGAAAGCACAAACTGTTCTATGTTGAGGGGTTGTTAGGGATAGTTTTACATTGCCAAGCACCTCATCTAAGTGAAAATGAAGCTTTATTTGCTGGTCCCTTCTTTTAGTCACCTTTCTCCTTGAGACTGGACTCTCTTTAGGAGTAAGGAGAATCTCTAGTGCATGTTGTATACCACAACATCTCTTATTTCTTAGGTCCCTGAAATTTGCTGCATTTCCCAGTTCAGTTTACTACTTGAATGAACAGTAGTGCTTTCTTCTCTTTTGGTAAAGCAAATTGTAGGATGTTCAGTATTGCTTGGTATATGGACCATACAATGACAATATCTTCCCTTGATAATAAAGTATGATCAGTTGCAATTGTCTACTTGCTGATAAGCTTTTGTGATTGATATTCTGCATTATTTGAACAATCTGGAGTGCAAGTTTTTAATGCGATAGTTAAATTGTTTTCTAACCTCCTAGCTCAGTTTYATCTTCCTCACCTTTTCAGTGTTTTCATGTTAAGCTTAGAAAATACTTTTTTGAACTGTATATGTTTTCAATTCTATCATTTATGCCTTAAGACTTTAGTGAATGGTCTTTGATCAGCATTTTGCAGAGGGTTAGACAATTACCCTYGTCTGGTTTTAGATTTCAGGATACACAGTACAATTGAGATTACACTGGACAACAAATTAAACAAACATTCCCTTTCATTTGCACTCTTTGTATCAACAAGCTTAACACCAAGGYAAAGATAAGATTAAATCAGTGGCATTCTTCACCACTCATAGGGTTAAATGTTGCACTTATTAGCCTTACAGCAATAATGCTTGGTGCAAGGAGATTTAAATCAAGTTTTTATAGCGGACCTGCAAATATGGAATTAACCTTTTCCYGGATTTCCTGTCCTGGAGAGTGTCTGCAGTTCCTCCTCCTCAAATCTCCCTGTTGCCACTGCAACTGCAGGAGAAAGCTACTTTAACATAAGTGAAAAGAAACACCTTTTCTATTTTTTTACTGTTGTTTCATCATTATATTACAGGATCCATAGCATAGGAAATTATGAAAGCCAGWAGCGTAAATGTGTTCAAAGGAGATTGCATACAACTACGGACAACGGGTTCATTCATGACTGTTCAATCTAATGCAACTTCTGGCTCAGGAAGTCTGTACTTCACTGATTACCAGAAGTTGAGAGGGTAGCTGGAGGAAGGCTTGTGGTCTGCATGATGTGTTGCTGACAGTCTYTCTCTCAGTATCTAGCTCTGTCCTTCAGCAGAAAAGGATGCAGAACAAGAAGGGATATTGTGTCTGATTTTTTGTGGTCATTCTGTGCCTGCTTGACAAGATAGACAAGTTTACAAACAACACTGAGAGGGAAGTTACTTTATGTATTCAAGTAGACCTTAAGCTCACTTCAAATAATTAATAGTGTCRTGGGTATGGACATGTATCACATGTCTAAGATAATGAAGGAATCCTTCAATAGGAAAATGGTGCAGAGGGATTGGGGGGCAATCACATAACCTGGAAATRCTCTGGTTCAACATCATTAGTCCATGTGCTCCTTCAACCAGTCGATGTATTTGGATACCCTTGTGTAAACCCCGTAACTGCCTTCAACAGCACAGCCCTTTCCCCAGCTGACAATCCCAGTCAGAAACCAAGTGTTGTTGTACTGTGTAGCATGAGGACCACCACTGTCTCCCTTGCAGGAGTCCTTAAGCCCAGACAGGTCCCCTGCACAGAACATATTCTCTGTAATATTAAAATTGGTCTCCTTTTCACATTCTCGTGACTTTACACGTGGCAAATCAACTCTCATCAGAACAGAAGAGGTGGCACCTCCGTCTATGAGGCGTCCCCATCCACTTACTGTGGAGAACTTGATGGTGGACAATTCAYGGACAGCAAACCTTTTCTCAGGCAAACAGATTGGCACCACATAGTCGGTGAGATTCACCGGTGTTTCCAGTTTCAAGAGGGCAATATCATTATTGACCTGTCCATTTATGTATCCTTCGTGAATGATCATCCTGGCGACTCCACTATCTTGCTCAGTTTTCTCATCGACATTTATTTTGTGTTCACCTGGAAGAGTTATTAATCACAGATGATGTCAGGTAGCTCCTTGATTCCTTGGAAGTTTGAGGATATAGGGTGTTTCTAGTCTGACATCACCTCTTGAGGACAATTACTTTGTAGTACCAAAGCCTTCTACTCTGGTTTTATTAGGATGAGAAGCTGCCACAAGCTTGATAAAATGAGGAGGGGAAGATACGTACCCAGTCTCACCCGAAGCTGTTTGGGATGAGTATATTCCAAACAGTGAGCTGCAGTGACCACCCACTCTGGAGAAAGCAGGGTACCACCACACTTTTCTTTCTGATCCTGTATTATAAGGGCCTGCCAACATAAAGCAAATATATGTGTTACCTAAAACATGCTTGACATAAATCTCAGTAGAGGTGGGTTTCATATTGCTYCTTTCTGTCCCTTTATGCAACTCTCTTTGACAATACCTTGCTCACTGCATGGAGAACTTAGGAGGGGAAGTCTTCCCATTGAGATTTCTCCATCTTATAGTATGGACCCTGCCTGTTAYGGCAAAGAACATATTCCTGGAGGCCTCAACTAAAATTCTTGCTGGCAGTAAAGTTAAGGGTCAGGAGACAGAGACAGTTGTGCTACCACTCTAGTCCTATAAAACCAGATACTTCCGAGCAAAGCTAAGGTGACTTAGTGAAACAGGTGGATCTGCTTGCTATGGATGAAGAAGGAACTTGGTTATCAAGACATTGATAAAACAGTGAATTTAAGACAGTGATTTCTAAGGAAATATAAAAAAAATGCAGTGAAAGATTTTTGCAAACTCACTTGCCATGGACATTCACCTGGAGGACAGATTAAACCACCTACTATTCTCCCTCGTGCAGTTGAATTTCTTTTTGCCAGCACTGGTATTTTTCCACATGGGTATTTCACTGAAAAAAAAAAAGACAAAACAAAACAAAAATCCCAAAACAAAAAAGGCAGCAAGTGGCATTTTGTTCTGAATTCACAGCAAAATGTGTAAAGTCTTCAGTGAAGCTATGTTAGCTGRAAAACTGATTTCTAGTCTGGGAGCATGGATTCTCAAAAATAATGTAAAACAGCTCAGCAAGTAAATAGCCTATTTTGTTTGGAAAGAGCCAGAAATGCACTTAAAATTAGAGTTCAGACCTTACAGCATTATTGACACTTATTCACCCACTGTAGGGCTTTGCAAACGATAAACCTGTTTAAGATACATGTTGAGGTAGGCTGCAGGCTGGAGTGCAGAAGTGACCCTGACAAGCTCTGTGGTCCACAGATTTTCATTCCCCCTGCTGGCTTTAAATCAGTTGTACCAAGAACACAGCATCCACAGCAGAGTGAGACAGAGGCTTAGTCATGGGGTGAACATTTTGTCATTCTTTGTTTGGGCACAGCCAAAGATGCCCTAAGAGCAGACACTGTGTCTTCTGGTTTGCCTCTCCCAGACCACCTCGTTTGCTTGTGTCCAGAGCATGCTGGATTCTCCCAGGCTGCACATCTCTGTGTTCTGCCTGAGCCAGCSTGTGAAGACTGGCAATAAAGAGAACCAAGTCCTGACTGAACTTGTAATTAAGCTGTATGCAAAGGAAACCTTAGTGTTTTCAGTACATCCTTGACCCAACTGAGCTTTCCTGTAAAGAAGAAAGTCTACCTTTGGGTGTGCSTGTGTGCCACATGTCTGTGCTGAAACTGAACAGTCTGTCCCTTCTGTCTGGCAGGCACTCTGCGGTGACACTGAGGAGGGCTGCTCTCTTTCTACCACTTTGGGAGCCAGAGCCCTATATTCTGTGCTGAGCTGCAGGCAACACTCCATGGATCTGTAAGTGCTTCAGCTGACATGGAGACAGCATTGAGGTTTCACAGGTACACACAAGGTATGGAGAAACAGGACTAGGCTTTTGGTGGCAGCTGGTGAAATATTAGAACAGACATAAAACACAAGACCCATAGTGTCTAATGCTGTGTGTAGGGCAAGACAGGTGTGGATCTTTGTGGGAGATGGCAGAAAGACAGTGAGGGGTCTGTCAGCCTGGCAGTTGCACAGTTTTCTCTACTTGCAACCCATGGTCAGTTCTATGGCTATTTTGATCCCCAAAAAGCAAACAGCAACATAGACATGTTCCTTGAAGGGGAAGATGCACTGAAAAGCCTGTGAGGAATTTGGAATTCTTTGTTCTCTGCTTTTAACAAAAGCAGCTTTCYCATCACGTGGTACTGCAGAATCTGTTAATAAGGGTTAAGCACATTAGTAGATAGTTTTTTCTAATGAAATTGCTGCTGTTGAAAGTTAGGTTGTCATTAGAAGCTTTTTGCATGAGTGCTCCATTGAGGTATGTGTAGTGGGGCATTTTCCCTTARAATTCCTTTGCATGCTCCCTGCAGMTCTGTCCTTTATGTTGTTATGTTCATATCCCCAGGGGTCTCTTTTTCCCCCTAATAAAGTAATTCAAGTAGGCATCTGCAACACAGTCAGGTGCCAGCTTATGTACTGGCAAAATAATTAACTTGCACTACCCTAGRCCCAGTTGGAATTTAGCTTGGTAGATGAGTGAAAGAAATATCTACCCACAGTGCCTATAAGAATACCAAAAGAGTGTTATTCCTACCAGTTAGGAAAAAGAAAGAAGAGAAAGACAAGAGGAAGGGAAGGAAGGAAGGAAGGAAGGAAGGAAGGAAGGAAGGAAGGAAGGAAGGAAGGAAGGAAGGAAGGAAGNAAGGAAGGAAGGAAGGAAGGAAGGAAGGAAGGAAGGAAGGAAGGAAGGAAGGAAGGAAGGAAGGAAGGAAGGAAGGAAGGAAGGAAGGAAGGAAGAAAGAAAGAAAGACTGTTTCTCTTTGGTTTTAATAGGCTTCTTCCTCTATTGACTCCTGTGTTAAAATAAATATAACAATAAAATCTAGTCACAGTTTCAGGCTGGAGAGACTAACTTGTACCAGAAGCCAAAAGTACAGTTCAGGACTCTTCCCATGGAGAAGAGATGAGGAGCTGGTATCTGAGAGTTATACATTGCACCTCCTGGTGTGTACACATTGAAAACTTTTCTTCCAGAGCTGGCTTAGATTTATCATGAGGTTATTAGTGGCTTACCTTGAGGGATGCAGGACACGCCATCACTCGCTAAAGTGTAATCATCGTCACAGAAGCACACGCGTATTTTGGACAGCTTGTCAGTACAGTACTGTTCACAGCCACCGTTGTCAAAAATGCACTTCAGTCTGTCAGCCACAGCTGAGGTCAGAGAAAGAGCATTTAGGTTTCAAGACATGGATTTCTGTGCTTAATACTGATGACTTGCAATTGGAAGGTTGTCAGGAAAGCAAGGCAGGAAAAGAGATTTCTGTGATTTGTGCAGAGCAACTTCATCAAAAACGCCTTCCATCAAAAGCTAGGTAGGCCTGGATCTCCAGGGATTAGGGAAGAATAGGCTTTGCCCAAGAAATATATACCCAAAATAAAATAAATTGCCTTCTCTTCTCTCAGATGGTGCACAAAAGGCAATTTTTCGTTCCTTTTTTTTTTTTTTTACGATGTCATAATAGGGCAGCAAGTATCTTGTTGCCTTGCASTACCTAACTGCTTTCTGGTTAGATCCATGATGTGACACCAAAAGCATATGGACAGCCACTGCCACAGCTAGAATGATTCAGAATCACAGAATCATAGAATATCCTAATTTGGAAGGGACCAACTGATCCTCCAACCGAGGATCATCAAGTCCAAATCCTGAATGATAATGATTGCTACTGTTTATCTCAATGCCTTGCATTTGAATTAATAATTGAATTTGAATTTCGTCAAGTTATGCCCCAGCTGACCTTTCTCACAGTTTTTGCCCTCGTATTCGACAGGACAGCGGCAAACATAATCCTGAAACTGGTCGTCACAAATCCCACCATTCTGACAGGGGTTGGAGGCACACTGGTTAGGGTCTGTAAAACATTCAGTGTCAGTCCAGCTCACACAAAGRGCTGCAGCAGTGGGAGTGTCCCAGAGCTGTTAGAACATCCCGAATGATCGTACCAGAATAGGTGAGCCAGAACTCATCCTGGAAGAAAAAGATGTGAAATTTAATTAAAGAAAAATCAACTCAAGCCTTACAGCCCTTGTTGCACAGGGTGGGTAATAGACAGTCAGAATGATGCCACTTCTGCTTTATAGTTTGTGGCAGTTAATATCCTTAAAATATTTAATGTCATTTTCCAGATTGTACATTATTTTCATATACTAATAGAGAAGGGCCCTGTTTAACACACATAAATACGTCGTCCCTAAATAAGTTCTTTATAGTTGAGGTGGGATTGCCTGAAAAAATGTTGCACAATAAAATAATTTAAAGTAATTTCAGGGCAGGCATTACTGGGGTTTTGGGAAATGACTTTGAAAGCATCCATTTTCCCACCATCCCCTGGATGGGTACTGCCTGGGAATCCCCATGCAGTGTTCCCTCCTGCAACTCCCTGCTGCTGTGTCCCCCTATAGATATAAGAAAATGATGCAAACAGTGGGACACAAAGYGCTTTTTTAGCTCTGGTGGTGTCAAAAGTGTCAAAGCACACCACTGAGTGGGAGAATCCTTATGACAGTAAGTGCTCACCCAGTTCTGTGTTACTTACTGTCCTTTCAACATCATGGTAAATCTCTCTTGCTTCTTCATAGGAACATGTTTCTTCTTTGCATTCTCGCTCTAGTGACCCCAGTTTTATCTCTTCAAAGAAGCTGTTGGCTCGTCTTTGCCTTTGCARAATGCTGCTCGCCTCTTCCTTCTTTAGAAAGACTGAAAAACAGCGGCGTGTTCTGTTTGTCATACAGCTGCACTTGCCAGACAGAAGAGGTTGGGGGCACTGAAAGCTTTTCTATTTTCCAAGCTTTTTCTAAGATACTTCAGAAAAGAAATGGACAAATGTGAAAGAGTCCCCTTTCTCTGGCCTGCTTCACAGGTAAAATGACAACACATGGATTTTAGAGATCCTGGAGCTGAGGAGAAGATGGCATGTTACAACAGTGTTGTGTGTATGTGTGTTGTATGTATGTCAGTGACTCCATGCTTGTCATGTGCRTCTTAACATATGCAGCAGTTTCTTATAGCTGTAGCAGCTAGAAAGCGTGTGTCACTTTATCTAGCACTGGTGTATGTGGCACCATCTAGCACTGGTGTACATTGCAAAACCTGATTTTTCTGTACTTGATACATCAGTCACAGTGACAGGTGGACCACAGTTATCCCTTCACCCACAGTCACACATTATTTCACACCCCTCTAGATGCTGGACCTGAAGAAGGGATTTATTCCACCACTAGTAGACCATAATTTAAGAACCATTGCTTTAATATATTACGTTTTCTTCTGTTGTGAAGGTTGTATTAAGGTACACAGGAAGGCCGGACAATGCTGATTGCTATATGTAGTGGAGCCTGTGTATGGCTCCTAGCTCCTGCCATCACTACAGCCACGAAGGGGACTTATTTTGTGTCTCTGCAATGCCTTGGAAAGACATTGGGTACACAGGTTTGATAGCAGGCATCAACAGAGCTCATTTCCTAGAACTGCATCATCTTGCAGCTTGCAGAAGTGTGCACTGAAAGCCCTAATGTCATTGTCACCATGCTGACCTGCTCCTCAGCCTCAGGATAGAAGCACATTGCACAACTATGTTCTCCTGGAATAAGTCAGGGTAAGGAACAGTAAGTCTGAGTGCTGGTGTGTACTTTTGCTCCATGTACTGAACAGAACAAATCTTGAAATTATTGATTTTTTTTTTCTCCTATATGTCAGTAGGGGAGATTCTGGAGCTTCATGACAACAGCTTACCTTTCAGCACTTTAACTATTTCACCTGTGGTCGTGGGTAGATTTGGGGATTGAGGCTGATGTGTATCTCCTGCCTTTCCCCTGGACATTCTCCCGGAAAGAATGGGAGTTGTCTTCTACCTGCTGAAAGGGCCCTGAGGGATGCTGAAGTTCATGACTGGTGTGTTCCCACCAATATACACACAAACATAGATGCTGAGAGAGTTTRTTCCAGTCTGAAGTGATGTGAGGTGTCTCCATAAACCTTTGTGTCTAATTCAGGATATGTGCTGAATTATATGCAGAATAGTGTTACTTTTCCCCTGTATTTCAAAGTTACTTAAAGAAACAAAGTATTGTGTGGTGTACACTGAATTTATCCCTGGGTGCTTCATAAACATTTGGTTGTTATATGAGTGTCAGATGGGTCTTTCTGCCTTGATTTCAGTCAAGCTGTATGCATTTGATATGGCTTTCCCTGAAAGGTTTTAATAAACCCTACACTGCAGATACATAGCACATGGATCAGTGCCTGAGCACAGGCTCAGCGTGCCTGAGTGCATGGCTGGGGAGTCCCTCCACTGTTATTTTGGCATTATCCACTTATTTGTATTGGATCACTTCTGACTTTGCTACCTATATTTCCACCTTTCCTCACTGCAACACAGGAGACCCAGTCAATGGCTAACTGGGAATCTGAGAGCACTGGATCTGCTTCATTAATTCAGGAGCTGGTTTTCAGACACATGCTGAGCTACTGGAGAGCTACCTCCTCTCTGCCTTTTGCTGTTGAAACAGAGTGGATCCTCACCTCTTTAATTGCTCATCAACTGAATGACAGGCTATTGATAGATGCTTTGCTTTAAAAAATGTTGCAGTTCTACATGAAATAACAGTAAATCYCAGTTCCTTTCTTCATGTAGAGGACAGACAGCTGGTGGTTTGCCTGCTGTCTTTGTGCCAAGACAATAAATTAATCTAGCAGTCTAGAGGTGCTTTTTCTTAGTTGGCAGAACAAGTGCCTGGAGCCATTGCAGAGAATAAATAAGAGCTTTAGAATAACACATGGGCACAGCAACACACAGGAAAAACGTGCAACAGTGCCCAAAACTTGCAGTGGAAATTATCTCAGTTACAGGAAAGAGGTCCATTGCCAGTAAACATAATTACAGCCATATMCTACAACATACCTGCATCCAGAGAAAGAGGGATCAGCAGCAGAAAGCAGAGAAACAAAGGCACACACTGCCTGGAAATCATGATGAACCCTGCAAGCCAGTGTCCCAGTAGWGTATTGACATTTCATCAAGGACTGTTTGGCCAAAGAGCTCAGCTTCAAATGCTTGGAGCCAGAGGAGGGGCCGGCGAGTCATGGAAACAGCAAAAGATCCATGAGTGCCTGGTGAGCTGAGCAGAAGGGCACATGCAAATCCTGCAATGTGCCCTTTTCTCRCAAGCAGGGAGCTTGGTTTTGAAGTGTGCTCTCCTGACCCGTGCAAAGGCTATGCTGATTACACAGGCCTGCATTTTCCATTTAACACACCTATTCCATGAGAAACACAAACGCTGGGACACTGAATCATAGGACAGGCATTGACTTGGCCACACTGCCGCACATGCAGAGAGCAGCAATGTGGTATTTATCTTGCATCAGCAGTCAAGATATGGCCTTTCAATGCTTTGYAGAATGATTCTACCACTGTCTAGTCCCATTTTTCTATCACCAGCTGCAACTCTGCACTTCTGCCTGAATTTGCTTGGAGACACTAATTAACCAGCACTAACTACACTGGTTCCTGGTTCTCTCCATTTTTACTGCCAGACCCATGTGGCCTGCACAACTTGTACCAGCTGGAATTGGCACTGAGCTGATCCATGCTGTACTTCATTAGTAACTACAGGGAGTTGAGGGGACAATCTGCAGATGGTTTTTCATCTGGAACAWAAGCAATCCTCTGATTTAATGGAAATCAATTAATGGCATCAGACTGGAGAGCTGACAACATTCTTGGAGAAATATTTACTTAAGATAGCAGCAAGGTAAAGAGCATGTTTATCTATGAGAAGTGAAGCATTGCCTGAAGCTGGAGTGTTTTCCAGTCTGCCCTCCCCTTCCTGCATAGAAAGGAAGGAGGGTCAGATCTGCATTTGAATGCTACTGCAAAGGAAAGCAACAGCTCAATTTCTACTTTGCTGCCAACGCTCAGCAGAAGTTGTGATTGCTCAGGAAAAGTCAGGCTCTTGGCTGTTGTTTCCAACTCCTGTTATTTAGGGGCAATGCACACAGCTGGATATTCTGCTTTGAAATAGCATTCCCAAGAGACGGTATCCAGGCATTTATCTGGATCACAGCCTGGCTAATTCCCAGCAGTCCAGTTCATGGGATGGCTGCAATAGCATGTCCTGTCCCAGGCAGAGGAAGGAGGCCAGTTACTGGAATGCAAAAGAAGTTACAGCAGCACGATGCTGCTTTTTTGGGAACCCTCTCCATACCTCAYAGCCTGCCAACACAATCCTTACTCCTTGTTCACTTGCCTGTGGCAKTGAGTTGAAAATAGCAAGTGCATGTTCAGATTAGCATGATCAAACCTAAGCTTGAAAATTTTTCTTCTTGGCAAAGATCTGGCCCCATCTAGSTGCATGAGTCACACAGATCAGAGAATGAAGTTCTTCCTTCTCTGCCTGAGGCCAGCCTGAGTCTGCCCCTATGCCCCCAATCCCCTGTGTTTCCTTATGCTGGGTGGGCATCTCCCTGCCAGGGAGGGTGGGGTGGGTGCCACTCCAGAGTGGCACTGCAGCACATCTGCAACCTCTGATTTCTTTATGATGTGTGGATTCTTTACATCCTTAGGAGACTGATGCACTATTTTCCTTTTGCCTTCCTTCTTCTGCTGGCATCCCTTAAAACTGAAAGGTTTTGCTGTTATTTCTTGAGAATACAGCTGAACAGTTATTTTTAGAGCCTGGGAAGAAGCCCAAGTGCTGGGAGCAAGAGTCAGTTCATATGGGGACTGTCCTTCTTCCAAGAAAATGAATGCAATTAGGTTCCATCACGATGAACCCGAGAAGGACCACTGAGGATTCAGCACTCCCAGGACTACAYTACAGCTCTTTGTTTAAGAACTTCATACTGACAGCTTTCATCACGAAGATGTTTTCTACTAACTTCAGCTGGGTCAGTCAGAGCTGTGTTTGTAAAGAAGAGCTCCCCTTCCTTTCATATGTCCTCGTGTCAGCTGGTATACAGTTAATTTTCTTGGCAGGAGCTTGTACAATGTTGTGGTTTGGATTCAGTGTGAGGGTAATGCTGGTAACACACTGATGTTCCAGCCGTTGCTGGTTCTTTTCAATGTCTCATCCTCTGCCAGTGATGAACTGCACATAAAGCAATGAGACAGCATGGTCAGGACAGGTGACCCAAACTAGCCAAAGGGATATTCCAAACAACAAGAGTATGTCATGCTTAGTATATTAACTGGGAAGGGATGATCACTGCTTGGAAACAGGGTGGGCATTGGTCAGTGGGTGGTGAGCAGCTGTGCTTGTTCAAGCAGACTTGTTTCTCCTGGGTTCTCTCTCTCTCTCTCTGTGTCTCTGCTTTTTATACTATTATTATATTAGTATTATTAGTATTATTGTATTTTACTTTGCTTCAATCATTACACTGTTCTTATTCCAACCCATTTTTCTGGATTCTCCTCCTCATCTCGCGGGGAGGTTGGCATAGAGCGAGCAGCTGCCTGGTATTTAGTTGGTGTCTGGGGCTGAACCTTGGTGCTCAGCGTGTGGCCTGGAAGGTTGAGATGATTGATCTGACCAGATTATTAAAATAAGATTGTTACAAGCCTTCATTGCACTGGTTTAACAGTCACTGGCCACAATATAGATTACTTTGCCACCAGAGTGGTTGTGCTCGTTCTCAGGGTTATGCAATACCTCACTTGCAGCATTTGTTTGCTGTTTTGGTGTCTGTCGCCTCCGGGTCCTGGGTTCTGTTGTACTTCCTGGTATCGGCKTTTGATCTGATAGCGGCTGCGAAACTGACCCTGTGTGGGTTCCCAGCATCGCTGTCACCTTTGKATTTCGGGAGCCATCTACCGGGAATTATCAATAATTACACCTAGCCCCAAACCCCGCGACAAGCACTGCTACTCGAGGGGGAGAAAGGGATTCAAATTCCTCAAATTCCATTARCGAGCATTGGGGCCACTCACACTCSGGTTGAGTTCACTTGGAGGGATGTCCAGCACACCAGGGATTGAGTGCCCAGGGRTGGAAGCACAGCCCCACCACCTGCCATGGGCAGATCCGGATGCCCAGAACAAGATGAGAATCTGCAACACCTGAAATCCATTGATGACATCGTGTTGATGACACAGCAGAAGAAGTTTTTGAGAAAGGGTAGATCATAAATCATTCTAAAAAAGAGTTTTGCCATAAAAAAAAGTAAAGGTCAAGGGACCTGCACAGAAGACTCGGCTTTAGGGAATACAACGGTGAAATGAGTGTTGCCACATCCCGATGGATGTGATCAACAAAACATCAATGTCTCCACCAACTAACAAGAAAGRAATACAAACTTTCTTAGGCACTGCAGTTTCTGGAGAATGCACATTCCAAATTGYAGTCTGATTGTCAGCCCTATCAAGCGACCCCCTCAACTGGGGCCCTGAGCAACAAGACTTGAACAAGTCAAGCAAGAGACAGTTGATGCTGCAGTCCTTGGGCCGGTCTGAACAGGGTAAGATGTAATGGGCCTTACACCACACACAGGGACAACAGTCCTACTGGGAGCCTCTGGCAGAAAGTGGAGACTCAAGATTGATCCATATGCTTTTGGAGTCACGTTGACTCCAGAGGATCAAAAGCCCACTGTAAAGTAACTGATAAAGAGCTCCTGGCAGCTTAAGAAGGTGTTCAGGCCCCTTTGGAAGTGWTTGGAACTGAAGCACAGCTCCTCCTGGCACCCAGTTACCCAKGCTGGACTGGATGATTGAGGAAAGGATCCCCACTTCACACCATGCAACTGATGGCTGTGCAGTGATGATGGAATCGTAACATAACTAGTTTCAACATGGAACAACTCAGCACCACATGCCATCTTTCCTGCCCTGAAAAATCATTCTGAAAGACAAGGACCAATGTCATGGATTACATTAATTCAGTGGGCCTTTAAAAGGATAGTCTTTAGACCATGAGAATATCTGTGTGTAYATCTATCAAAAGATGGGAGAGGGGATGGGGTATTTTGAAATGTGGGATCTGGCATGACACGAATGGTATGAAATAAGRGTTGGGTACTGCTCTGGTTTCAGCTGGGACAGAGTTCATTTTCTCCTTCAATGCAACGCTGGGCTTTTTGGATTCAGTATAATGATAACATACTGATGTTTGGCTGTTGCTCAGTAGTGCTTACGCTGAGGGACTTTTTTTTTTGAGTTTCATCCTCTGACAGTAAGGAGCTGTGCAAGAAACCATGAGGGAGTATGGCWAAAACAGATGAGCCAAACCAGCTGAAGGAATATTCCTTTCTTAGAATTCATACMCAGTATATAAACTGGAGGGGTTACCTGGAAGAGGATGATTGCTGCTCAAGACTGGGCACTGGTCATCAGGTGCTGAGCAATTGTTTTGTCATCACTTGTCCTTTCTTGTTTTTTTTTCTCTCATACTAGTATCATTAGTTTATCATTGGTATTGTTATATTTTAATTTGTTCCAATTATTGAAGTGTTCTTATCTCAACCCACAAGTTTTACTTTTCCATTCCCGATTCTCATCCCCMGTCTGCTGGGTGTGAGGGAGTGAGCAGCTGCATGGTTGTCATCATCTATTTGGGGTTAACCCACATCACCAGCCAGAGGAGCAAAGAGTTTGCTTTTCTTCCCTTGAAGATCCCTGTGTTACTTTGTTTTCCTTCTTGTGTGGTCTTGCATGAGAGCAAGTTCTGTAGTTTTGATCTATAAAATCTTGYCAGTGCAGGCTTTAGCTTTGGCTTATGTTTTGTGAGCAATTCCAAGAAAAATGATCTGCTGATTGATTAAAAATTAATATATACTAATGCAAACATGTATACTGCTCATGGGTGTTACTAGAATCACTCTGGGAATAGCTCTTCAGAAAACATAATTTAGGATATTTTTGATGTGCCAAAGTTGTTGTATTTAAAAAAAATTAAGAAGTTAAACAATGAAACCTGTAAAGTGTTAACAATATGAAACGAAAATATCTAAAGCAGAAACATGAGCCTGAAGATGTGATGATGTCTCAGAATATGTCCTTTATATTTGCTTTGTTTCCTGCTGACATTTTTAAAAYAAGTGCTCTTACAATTTTGTCTAGTTTCACACTTTGGATTGAAGAGAAGTTATGTGTGGGAACTTTTGGGAACTAGGCAATTTGATCTGATACAGCAAGTCACTGGTCATTTCAACATGAGTTTTCTAGTTAGCACTCACGAACAATTTGAAAAAAGAAATCAATAAACTCCATTTTGAAGATGCTATCAGAGATATTTGAGTAAGGTGACATAGCTGTGTCTAGGTAAGAAAGCTTTAGGTACAATCTGATTCTTGAATTTACAATAGCAACTTGCCACTGGTCATTTACCAGACTAATTAAAAGGAAGCAAACACTTGGATCAAGTTAATAATTTCCKATTTCTGTTATACTAATCTATAAATATATGTGTAGAATGCTACTAAGCTTTAAAGCAAATTATTTGAGATTTAGACCTCAAAACAGAACTACTTTCCACAAGAAAATCTCCTRCCTGAGAGTTCTGTATCCCCTACTGCAATTATTCTCAGATGATGGGAAGACATTTTTTTGTTTGTGCGTGCGACAAGCTCTGAATATGAGTGCTTARCACTGTATTTTTAAATTTTGATGTGGTTTATTTATTTATTTTCTTTCATTTTTTGCAGAGGAKATGTAAAAAATAGAGAATAAAGGAATAAAAAGACAATAAAGGCAGTGTGCCCCAATGTTTGCCTGTTTAATGCCACCCATCTCAGTTGGTAATGAGAGATATTAACTCTGCTACAAACCTTTTTTGATTGACCTGAGGTCACCACAGCTGTGAGAGCACCACTAGCAAATCCTTAGTCTTTTAAATGTAGCTGTCTTGTCAATGGATGGGGAGTGAATAAAAATCCATCTCCTTTCAAATGAATGCCCAGAGAAGCTACTTCAGTATCTAAATGACTTATTTTGATAATACAATCTCTAAAAACAGTTTACACAAAGTCTTAGGGAACAATAGAATTTATCTCTTCTATTCCTGCATCCTTAATTACAGGATTTGATTATTTCAAATATTTCAAAACCTGAACTTACCTGAATACCCCTGAATTTGGGTAGCTTCATTATACCAGGCAGATCTGGTGCTTGCCACACACATCCAGGGAGGCTGCCAACTCTGGGGATTTGTAAGGACACTCCAAGTTTCACAGTGCAGTTCATACTAACATCTAACTTATCACTGAGAAGGGGAATGGGAGTTCCTGCYGTTTTAAGTTAAGTCATGTAAATGAGTTATAGTCCAACTTCCTCAGTTTTACTCAGTGTCAACATCTGTGCAGGATGAAGAAAAGATCTTATGTTCCAGCCAGCAAACTGCTTCTGCATCTCTGAAACACTGTGCCCCAGCTTGGAGATGGTGATCTAAAAAACCAATCATTAGGTTTTTATAGAGAAAACTCTTTACTTTTACTCTTTACTAAGGTACATTTGGGCTGGATCTTTCATTCTTTAACAAGTATGATGTGGACCTTCTTTTGCTCAGAAAAGTAGAACTATCTGTAATGGAGGGAGCTGTTACATTAACAAGATCAAGAGAAAACAAAAAGCAATGGAGTCTCAGTAACACCTTAACTGGATCATGTAATGCACATGACCAACAGCTCAGCCTGAATCACTCCAGTCAGTGTGAAATTCACCTCCCACCATGACATGATGATCCTTAAAGCCATTAATCAATGAGTGTAAAAGCATGTTCTTCTTCAGATGCAGCAAGGGTGARCATGCTGTCTTGTTTCTCACCCAGCCATGGCCAGATGCAGACCTCCAACTTGCTCTGCTAASACCACAGGATCCATAGGATACACAGCTTTCTTTGGGAAAACCCAAAAGTGCTTTCAGAAAAGGGTGTGTGCGGAAAAAGGGAATCAATCCAATTACCTGGCACTGGCTTTCATTTTTAATTCTCAGCCTGCAGACACGCTTTGATTCCCTAGTGCCAGGCAAGTGATTGCAAGTGAGACATGATCACAGAGGTGAAATGGTGTTTTTCTGAGATGGTCCCAGAACGAGCAGGCAGAGGATTTGAACACCCAGACATGGTTTTCTGTTCCTCTCYCTGTTTTAGTATGATACCCATAAGAAGCTTTCAAGACTGTGAGACAAAATAAACCCCAGAGCATGTCTATATAAAGGCATTCAGCCAGAAGCGCTGAAATTTATTCAAATTAATTACAGTAGAGACCTCTGACTTTGAACTTCTAATTCACAACAGCAGTAAAAAAGGAAATGGTGAAATGGGTTGTATTAAAGTGCAATGACATGGAAAAAAACATTGAAATAACACAAATGAGGCTGCAGTGAGAAATGAAACAACAGTCTCATCCTAGCAATGACAGCAATATATAAGTAATTATGTTACAGATAATTTACAAAATAACTTACATAGATGAAGATAAGCTGAATCTCATGTTGCTATTTTATTGTTAAATATCAGACTATTCTTGGTCAGCACAGTATTATATGGAATAATAAAAAAAAAACTCAGAGGATTTCTGTGTTGAAAAAAGATGCCTGAAGTAAAACCCTGATCAGCATTTATATTGCAGTATTGCAAGAAACCTAAGTCTTTATGAATTGTAAAGTGGCACATTCAGCAGCATGAAGACTATAAATACATCTTTTACATTGATACATTTTATCTACACACATATACATATCTACACACATATATATACACACAAGCACATACATGCACATATATGTGTGTGTGTCTATACATGCTTTCATTTGTGCTGACATGGTCAGCTGCATTTTGATTGCGTCTGGGGTAGGGTYGCTTCTTCATCATTCTTAGGAGCATTTGTCATTTAGGTTTTCTAAACTGCAGCCTCTAAAACAYTAAATTCTGGTATAAAGATTGACTTCAGGGCTCAGCAATTGGAGAATCTGATGATTAACAGCACTTTCCATCGAYGTAATCTGCTGTGCTTAGTGCTTCTGAAAAGTTACACTCTTCATAGCCCCACTACTTCTAAATAATATGGTGCATGGATCAGTTAAAAACCTGTTTTCATATAAGTAAAAATATTTGAGAGGTGGACAGGAATGAATCCAGTATTTTATACATGTACTTAGTTTTGTACTGTTTGTAAGGATGGTGTGCAAAGAACATCTGACAAAGTGAGAATTTTTAAGTGGTTTACATCATACCCTGAAAACTGGCAAGTTTAGCACCACACTTCCTTTAACAAAATTAAAAATACTTATCTGACTCTAAGATTTTTTTTCTCCTGTGCTCCCCTTTCATAGAAAAATTATGTCTTCTTTTTTTTTCTCTTTTAATTAAGCTGGAATAAACACTATGGACTTAAAATATGCTGGATTTCCAGCCCTCATAGGTTTGTCTGAAGGAAGGCTCTTGAYCCACAGTGAAGTTTCAATAGTTTCCTCTGCCTGTAACTGCAATGTTAATTGTGAGAGCTGAAAGTAACCATACAATTACCATTTATTAAAAAAMCATTTAGTGAATAAGAACATTTGTGTTTCATTGTGCACCTGCATAAGAAAAAAGATACTACTTAATTGCCAAGTCTATGTAAACACAGTGATCTTGGTAAAGAATTTGGTTGTGAGGTCAAAATACCCCAGAAAAGAGTTATTCCATTGCACACRTCATTAAAAGGTCAGAAAGGATAAAATAATAGTTTCTTCTGATGTTGTTGTGGTCAGTGAATTGGTCATATCTGCATTCCAGCCTCTAGGAAGCAGAAGAGCATCCTGAAAACACAAGAGAAAAGGGTGGACCAAACCTCCTTCCTCATTGCTGTAAGAGTCCCATTCACTGCATTGACCGAGGTATGTCCTTGGAGAAAGGGTTTTTTGGGGAGAAGAAATTGTAAACTTGGATTTATTTTCCTCATACCTATCCTGTACAATGATTGCTATGTTATTAGTTTACAATGAGSATTTAGCATTGAACACATTTTTTTGCTCACATTCAGATTCTGGCTGTTACAAAAAGATACAGTTCTGCAGAAACCTGATTGTGTGTCACAGAGAAAATGTGTTTTATGCTAACAGCTCTTCAGAGCAGAAACCTCTACAAAACCCTATTTCAAATCATTTAATTTTTATTTACAACTTCACATTCCATGCACTTTTCATTGGGATCTTCTGGGAGAACCTGTAGAARTCACCACTAAAAATACGCAGAGCTGGCAACACAGAGCTGGTGGTTCTCCAATGAAGTCCAATGTCCACAACTCTGCAGCAAATGACAATCTCCAGATTTACCTTCCAGGGAGGCTGGATGAACATTTCACATTAGCCCTTAATGTCAGAGAAGCTGGTGCTGCTGACATTGCAGCTCTCACTGCAACTTGAAGATGTGCTCAAAGTGCTGGAGGCAGTGCCAGATTCTGGGAAACGAAAGGGAGAAAAAAAAAAACAAACGGAAGAAAATATTATGTAGTCATTGTTTTTCWTTACTTTCTTTGATAATAGGAATGTTCAAAGAGACAATCATCACATTTAAAATGAAGAGCCTACCAGAGCTGCTTAAAGATTGAGCTGATTTTGAATTGCCTATGAGTGTCAGCAGATTGCTTGCAGGAATCCAACCTTCTCTACCAGTGCTCAGGTTTTTTACAAACCTAAAAAATATATTAAAAAAAATTAGAAGTCAGATTGCTTCATTTGATGCCTTTGAAAGTTTTCCCTAAACATCTGCCTTCCAAACACAGTTCTGCGTATAAAAATTTCCAAACACAGATCTGCGTACCAAAGTCCATCCTCCCCTTCACGAATCAGTTGAACTAGTTCTCCACTTTTCACTGTAAATTCTTCAGAAACTCCTTTGTCATAATCAGTCACAACTGTATATTTACCAGGAGTCTAAATGCACACAGAGGAAAGAAAACAAATTATTTCTGTTGAGTACTTTCAGGTGTATTGTAGCTTTTGTTATGTAATTATAGTACTTTTCCCTTCTTTCTCATCTACCTACAAGATGAAGATGGTGTATATACTGAGGCAGTAAAATTCTGCTGATTGATTGCATGCAAATTCAATACAAGAATTCTCACACCCTGAAAAACATTCAGTAAAATGTTCCCATTACAACAATTAATTCATACATCTACAGAAAATAAAATCAAAAGAAGAAGAAAACTGGGCAAACTCGTGCCRTGGTGTCTGTGTGGAAGTCAGCTGATGTGGTAGCTGAGCATGGCATTGCTTGATGGCTGTGCCTTGGCACAAATAGCCGTGCCTCGCTGGGCTGTGGGTGTGCAAAGGCACAGAGGGACCTCCCCAAGGTACAAACACAGGCCTGATTTAAGAGAAGGGGTTCTTCTCCACAGYCCTGGGAATCTTTCAAGGCAGAGACTTTCCCACCTGCTAGCTTTAAAAGCATCCCTGCATCCTGCCACACACAATGTTCTGGCATCACTTGCTTAGCTCCATAGGAAAGCATTTCTGGTTACCAGCTTCATCTCGCCTCCCCCTACTCCTCCTCCTCCTCCTCCTTCTTCCTCCGCATCCGATGAATTCAGCGGTTCTTCAGCACTAGACCAGCCATCATTTTCTTCGGATGCATCAAGAGAATGGGATGGTTTGGCCCAACCTTGGGGAATGGACAACAGACAGTTAATTTTGCAGCAGTGAGCCACTGAGGGAGAAATGTTCTCCCCACTGAAAAGCTTGGGAGAAATGTTCTCCCCAGTGAAAAGCTTGTAAGTAATCAACAGAAACAGGAGAAAAACTGTACACAGGCAGGTTATTACAGCCCCTGGGTGAAATTCACTGCTGGCAAAAGTTGGCCTGTTTCCACCTGAGTAAGTGGAGTTGTGGCAATGCAGGGCAGTGAATTTAGCCCTTTGGATTTATATAAAGGAAAATGAATGTCRAGAATGCAAATCCCCAACTGAAAAACAAATATAAATATTTGTATAATATATAAGTATTATACAAGCACGAACAATGGATAGATACTCTTTTTTTCCKTGGGAGGAAGCAGAAAAAAGGAACACACACTTTTTGGGAAAAGCTTGGACACACAGGGTTGTCACCCGAAGTGACCTAAACRGCTTGCTGGAATAAGGGATAGATGAGCATTGCCTTCTTCACACTGTTAAGCACTGAGAGCTATCAAAAAATTCCACACAAGCTCCAAGCACTCTGTACTTCACCTGACAAGGCAGCCCATTATTTAGGAGTGCTCATGGTGACACAAGAATACTTAAGCAATCTGACCTATTTTGGTGTTAAATCACTGCACCAAGCACCTCAACAACAATCTCCCGCCTGTCATTTATTGCTTTTTCCCTCTCAGGGTGAAGCATTTAATTTATTTATAAAGCTGACTCTTATCCAGAGTGCACAAAATCCTCTTCCAAATACAACTACATMAAGTTTTATTAGTGGGATGCTTTACACCGGGTTCAGCAGCTGCTAATAAATGTGTCGAGCTTATAATGAAAAAAGTCATAATAAAAAAGATAAGTATTTGTAAACAAGCTTTTGTTTCAAGCCAAGTAGTAACAATAGTGAAACTCAATGAGAAGAATGAAAGCAAGAACAAACTTTCCATTTTATGTTACTATAAGTTAAATTGAAAAAACACCAGCATTTTTGCTTTTCACTCTCCTGAGGCATTTGTTGCACAGCTGGTCATGCCAGTGCATTAGAAAAAACCTTGAGCAGCATCAGAGTAAAGCCAAAGAAATCATAGAAAGAAATCACAACCAGAGCACGGCAAACAGAGTGGAACTTTTACCTTGCCTATGCTGCTGAGTGACCTGCACAAGATTAGAAGTACTGACCCATTTGGCCCTGTCCAGGGTTAAGAATGAACTTCCATCTGTGAAGAAACTGAGTAATAAATTTCTGCTGTATTCCATGAAAAATTCCTTGGAAGCTTACATCTTCTAGTTGGCTTGTTGGACACAGCTGAAACCATTTCTGTTATTTCTAAGTTAAGAACAAGGCAACAAAAGAAATCTTGGTTTCTCCTAATTGTTCCAAGCTCTCATTAGAAACAGAACCAATGAGTTGCACAAAAGAAAAAGAAAGTGAAATTGCTCTGAATGCCTCTAAACTCATACTCACTGGCCTCTTCATCTGGCACATTTTGGGTAACAGCTCTTGTTCCTCAGCCTCTTTCTTCTCTTATATTGTGCTAAGAGCAGACTGGCCTGATCCTGCCGTACCAGCAATCCTATTCCTCCTTACACAAGCTGGCACTCTACAGTTAACAAGTCAATATAAAAGCCCATCTGATCCTGGGAAAGGAAGTGGTCCCTGTGGTAGTGCKTCTATTAGTAAACTACGGGTACTAAAATTATGCATCCACATTCAATCTGTGTATGTGTATGAAGGGTGGGACTACATCAGAGCTCCCTATAAAGGCAGGAAAGGGAAAAAAAGGGAGTCTTGAGAAAAGACAAGGTTATTCAGAAAGGAGTTTAGATATAATGATGCCAGGAAAACCCAGAATTCATTAACTGCTTCTCCTCAGAAAAAACATCACAGGTTTCTTCAAAGAGCTATGATYGGTTATGATCATGTAATTCTGACACTAATTCATATTCCTTGAGCTCACTTCAGATAAATCAGAGCAATACAGCAGTGAAAGGAAATGAGTGGGAGTCATGTGCTGCACTGGGGCACTGGTGCAGTTTCATCCCAAAATGCCTGGGTCAGCTCGCTACTAATCCCTCTTTGAGCTGGAGAAGGAGAAGAGATAAAGCATCAGAAAAGAGATTGGAAGGTGCAAGACAGAAGGAGGAGTTAATAGATGCTTTAAATTAATTTACTTCGTTTAGCAGTTTCATAAAGTTAGATGCTTCTGGGACAGAAAAACAAATCAGATAAGCCTGTTCCAAGGACACAATAATTTTACTGTAAATTAGCAATGATCAAGGACTCTTCCTGGGAAAATTCCAGCCTCTGTGGAAAAGGCYATAAAACACCCTTTTCCTTCAGATGTTTCTGGGCCCTCAGGATTTCCATGGCACCTGGARATCTCAGAGTTTTGCCTGCTAGCTGCAGAAAAATAACCTTGTAACTCTCATTTCCACCCTTGTTGTGTTTCTGCACATCTCACCCACGATTACATTGCCTGCTGCTGCACCATTTTCCCAACACAGCAGCTGAGCTTGCACAGATTTCCACAGATGAGACAAAGACTTCAGAAAGATGGAGAGCAGGCTGATGGCAGGGCTTGAAACAGCTGCACCTTTAGACTAATATATTCTAAAGGAGATACTGGTGGAAAGAGTTAGGAAGAGAGGGACTGCTCTCCTTGGACCCTCTACTCTCCAGTTAATTAGCCCCARGGATTCATAACCAAACCTTCACCAACAGCCTTGCTGGTTAGAAATATATTGTTCAATTGAAATGCTTTTCCACTGTCTGCTTAGCTGTGAGTTGGGAGGATGGGAGGCAAATTGCTGCAAGGGGTTCAGTTAAGTCATCTGGGATTCTGGGTGGTTAAAGTTGCCTACTATCACAAAGAAAGATGCAACAGAGCTGTGACTGCAGTAATAAATGCAGATCTAAAATGAAAATTCCATGTGACAGTGATCTGGGTTTGGGAATATTTTTGTTCTTTAGAAGTTCAATCCTCTCCACAAGGTGCATAGTGACAGAAGGATTCTCACACATGGAAAACCACGCTAGCACAGCAGCTGGACACCCCTGTAATTCCATTAAACCCCCAGCTTCTGGCCATTTCTTCAATCACAGATCTCTTTCCCACAAGTTAGTCATATGCTATTTCATTTAAAACCCAAGTTAAACATTGACCAGTTGTGCTATCAAAACCAGGATATACAGATCCACTCAGAAAAACACAGCTGATGTCAATACCCCTGCACACAACAGCATCATACAGGTATTCCCAGCACTCTGATGTGACATATTCCATGAGGTATGKGGGGGTACTTGTAGAGTACAAGATGTGGCATCACTGTACCTCTTAAACCAAAAGGAGTTGGGTCACTCACTACTTCATGCCGTTTGGCTTTTTTGTCAGGACTGGTAGGAGAAGCTGCAGGAGGATGAATAGGTAAAAAACACAGAAGAGAGATATTGAAGAACTGGAAAAAAGAGAATAGGTGGATTGCATGCTAAATACCTTTGAGTTTACACTGGAAAACAAGTGGATTTCTGTAATCTAATTTTAGCTACCATTGGTGCATGGCAGCAGAAGGAATTAATTATTTGCAAGTAGTTATTTGAAGATAAATTGACAAATTTATTTCACAGTAATAGATGAAAATATATGCAAACTTTTCTAAATTAACTAGACATCAACTGAATACAATTAATTTCAATTTCAGACAAATATTACCAAATTAAGCAATGATTTTTAYGTAAATCTAGTGCTACAGCAATACCTGGTCCTGTAAGAAGGATCATTGGCAATGTCTGGCTTTTAGCAGAGGAAGATGGAGTTTCTGTCAAGGCAAGCATGGGACATTAGTGCTCACCTCATTAGCATTAGATACACAACCCTAGAGTCTCTCCAGAAGGAACTCAAAGGTAATTGGATTTCAAACAGGCATTCTGGAAAGATGCTTGGGGGGAAAAAAATACCATGCTCTTGAACAAGTGCCATCCTCTTAATGCAATTCAGAGTGTTCAAAGACAGCTCTTCAAAGCAAGAAGTGACTGTACCAGTGTGATTACTTGGCAGGAGGAAGCAAGAAAGGTGTCAGACTCTTATTGCCTGTTTTAGAAAATAAAGAGGCAAAGACCATTTCTGGAAGAGTAGGGAAATTCTTACTTCTTTTTCTATCCAGCAAAATAACATTGTCAGATACATTCTGCTGCAGTTATTTATGCTTTGAGAGTTTTGTTAGCAAGGATGCCAATATAAAAATCCTCTATAAAGCCTTCACAGAATCACCTTGATTCCTTTTTGCCAAGTACAAGTGCATTTGGGRCAGATCCACTGAAGCTAGAAGCAGGCCAGGTGTCCGATCAGAAGACAACTTCCTTCCTCTAGTTTTTCTACAGGAATGGGGCACTACAAACTTGGTCCTTGGCCTTGACAGTGAGATTGGAGGCATTGGAAACTGCACTCCTTCCCTTGCATCTCCACAGCCCTACTTTTCCCCCTCCCACTCTGGCACTGGCTCCTCTTGACATCTCCCTGTCAGAGGCAACGACTAAGGAACCTAGCTTGACCTTGGAAGAACAAGCTAGTGTGTACAATGAAAACCTACCACACTATACACACATACAGGGTGATGCTCCAATTACAGCCTTACACAGAAAACAGTCTAGCCTTTTTTCAAAATTACCTTTCTGACTTTTGAGGCTAGTAAAGCCCTGCAGCGTAAAGCGCTTTTTTGACAGTACAGAGCATTCTGAGGTAGAGCTAGTGTTGTCTACAAAAGAAGAGAGGGACACAGAAAGAAAAGGGAGAAAGCCATGAAAAGATCAGGGCAAAAAGTCATTTGCAGCTGTGCCATTGGACCTGCATGTTAGGATGAGAAAGGACTGAAAGTCCAGGTACAACACAAGTGGCCGGTTGTTCTTGCTGTGCAAGGGCTTGTATTGCCACTGGCTCAATAAATAATGTCTATGATGGAAAAAAAATAAAGAGAAAAAAACAAAACAAAATAACCTTTCTTTAGATCAGGTAATGCCAAGGTTTTTTTTCCAGAGAAAGAGAACCCTGAGAAGCTGGGCAGCCCTAAGAGAAGACCTACTGCAGACTTCTGCCTCGTAACAAACCATTCCCACCTGCTTTTGGCTCCCATCCRTTCAAGATGGCTTTGAGCCTGTCCACACCACACACTGGAATGCAGAAATCAATCCCAAGCTAAGGGCAGATGGGACCAGCATGCTGCAGTGTGGGCAGTGCTTTGTGGGTGGGCTCCCTTAGGGCTGAAAACAGCAAAGCCCTGCTCTTTCAGGAGTCCTGCTGCCTCCCCTGCACTACCGTGGCTACTCTGCCGGTGGATCTGCCTGGCCATCTGCAGTGCAGGCATGCTCCTTGCAATTAAACACCACAACATGCATGGGCACACTCACCTTTGCCTTTCTCAGGGTACTTTGGTGCTACAGTACTGCCACAACCTTCTAGATCAGCTTTCTTCTCCTCCATTTTTTTGGTATTTCTGATGTGGTTTCGTGAGGGACTGTTCATTGGAAGAAAATGAAGACAATCAATCCAGTCACAGGCTGTCTTTTACATACAGATATATAGCCTGAAAACCATTTATTTGTTACTTCCYAGATTGTAGCTTCCAGGACTGAAAAAGTAATTGGTGATTGTGCATTKAAAGACCATGAGAACATATTAATGAGAAACACCTCTCCTAACTAACTGCAATCACACGTACTCTGGCAGTGGGAGCTACYGAAAAGATGGCTCAGGACAACTTCCACTCACTTGCAGCTAACAGGTTCCTCCTGAATGTTCTAGGAAAAAAAGAAGAAAGATACAGGAATAAACTCTGCCTCTCAGAAGCTCTTAATACAGGAATAAATGAGAGACCTTGCAGTAGATTCCCATCACAACTCCATCTGGGAATGGAACAGAGAAAGACACTCCACAAATACGATGTATCTGGGAAATTATCCCTGAGCAATAAGYAGATGCATAAAAGATGCAGGGCAGAGAGCTACCAATATGTATTTGAGCACACACCATATGGATATGAGCACATGGCCTTATGGATAGGTACATATACACATATGAAAAACCAGAGTGAGCAGCAGAGAATTAAAGAGAGGTGTCAGGCAAAGGCAGAACAACAGATGTGAGCAGAAGAATATACAGGTTGGTATGGTGAAGGATGGAAAAAAAGACAAATTCCCAAAAATTGGGACATTGGAGGAATTAACACATTACTTAGGTTAAAAAAACYCCAAAGTAAATTGGAGTAAAAGAATAAGGGAGAGAGAAAAGATACTGACATGAAAAAGACAGAAAGAAAAGTAACATGACATTGGAAAAGGAAGAACAAGTTAATCGAGGTAAAGTAAAAGAACAGGGAAGGAACAAAAAGGCTGCTCCATAAAACTCTCTCATCTGTAGTGTAACATATTAATTAGCTGTTCAGCAAGTGGACACATAATACCATCAGGATTTTGGCTGGTGCAGAAAATGACACCACTGGTGCTGAGTTTAACAGTTCTGTATGTGAATAAACTCCAAGCATTACAGCTTTATAGTAAGAGGAGAATTAACCCAAGAACACAAGGACCAGTATTAAGGGGTAGGAGCAATGAAGAGCTGCAAACCAGATGTATTAATATTTACAAGACAGCCAGGCTGATTTGGCCACATACTTACCTTGCACAAGATGATGCTGGTAGTGGAAGGGGTAAACTCTGTGTTTGTTCCAGTGTCCTGTGTTGACTAGCTTCTGTAATGGAGGAAGAAAAAAGAACTATTAAAATGGATTTGTGTCCTATACTGGAAGATCTACAGGGCAGGATTTGAAGTTCAAAAAGAATATAGATTAAGAAATATATATATATCTCCAAAGTATTTTACCTCTGCATGCCTGTAGTTGACTTGTCAGAACTTTTCTTATTTCATTCACCCAAGTAGCTTTAACTTCAGGGGTTGGTGCCTACCCGAAAATAAATACAATCAGCCATCAAGCACAGAATAGCTATTACACAAATACATGCATGCCAAAGCATAGCCTCAGAGGAATCCTTCAACAGGGACTGACAAAGCTCCCTCYCTAGTCCTTCCATGAACAGAAACTGGTTGTAGGAACTGGCATAGGCTGAGGCAGAGGCTCTGCATGGTTACAGTCAAACCCCATCTCCCAAGCTAYCCACCACTCCAGTGACAACTACAATAATGGTATAGACAATATCCTCTTTAAGACAGGATTATTTTTACCCCCAGAAGACTCTTCCATTGAAATACAATAAGAAAATACCTTATGAATTAATCTGATGGTGGTTTGGTTCAGGTTTTCTTTTTTTCCCCTACATTTTCTCATCATACTCTATTAGTGATATAACAGAAAAAATAAACCTCCAGATCTTCTTAGTCTTCTTAAGGTTTGACTACTACTCCCCCTTTCTCGCTCTCTTTTTTTTTTTTTTAAATACGGCGCCATGTTATTTACCTGGATAATGTAAACTTCTTCCCTCGCATTATACCAAATCTCAAATTTTTTTGCATCACCTTTGACATTTTCTGTGATTCCAACTGCAGCCATCTGGAAGCAAAAAGAAGAGAAGCTGACCTACTGCTATGCAATTATGTTAAAAACAGAAGYAGGAGGCTACTGGTATTCTTTAGTACCTTATTTCTGAAAAGGAAAACCCCATCTGGCTTCTCACACAAGGAAAAGAATAGCTAACAAGATGTGATCTGCATGTTGGAGACAAGAGATTTAGTGCTTTGTATCAGTCTGGCTACCTCTGAGGGAAGAAGGTTTTAGGTACATTATACTGAGACTGACCTGTAAAATGTYACTTTTAAAATCCAAACCACCAAATCCTACTTGTTTTTCACATAGCCCTGCTCTAGGTTTTCTGTGTGATTAATGCAAGTGCCATTCAGCTGCACAGAGAGCAACACCAAATGACAACAGACCTGCAGCACCACCCAGGTTTGTCTGACAGAGTGGAGTTCCCAGTACAACGCTGCAACACAGGTTTGCAGAGATAAAACTAGAAGGTTGTATTGTTACAGGCAAAGCGCTCAGTACTTTGACCTTCAGGAGTGATCAGTGTCTTACRTTTAAGGAGTGTTTGTAGCTATAAGAAGGTGCTTTCTCATATCCCTCTCCATTTTCTTCTCGCTTTTTACAGAACAGCACTGCTTTCTCGTGGAGGAAGAGGTGTCGCTGCATTGGCTTGAAGCGTGCCAAATCTTTCACTTTTGTGTGACCCTTTTTATGATCAGTCCAGACATTGAAGGATCCCTGCATTAAAAGCTTGCCCAGCTCATTCAGGTTTCCCTGGAACAAAAAAWCACCAGTGTAATTACAGAGATAATATCAGATTAAAATATGAACTCTGAGCAGGTCATTACAAGTCTGTTGTTCCCAATAATCTCTCATATCAGTGTTTATGCTGGATTTGGAAATGCAATAAAAATAAAGTTAGTGTTGAATTTTTGCATGTAATTTTCACTGGCTAACACTCTTCAGGCAGGATTTTACAGCTGAGAGTACCAGTAGCAGAGATACAGAGAACTAACTACACACAGAGAGAGGGAAGCACAATACACATCTTTGGTTTTTTGGTTTTTTTTCCCCCAAACGCTGCTTCAAATGTGCTTACGTAGTGTTTTGTGTTTTCTTATGTTTTGGGAACTGAAAATTTTGGGTGTAGTTCTTCACATAGACATAAAAACTTAGTAGCAACTCGCATTTGGTTGTAGCCTAAACCAGACTCTTCATGACAGTTTTCAGTTTCTCACTGTCAATCAATAAGATCAAAGAAAAAAAAACTTAGGTAGACAGGAAAATATTAGTCATGGCAGGAAAATGTAAAAGGAGTATAAAGACAAGCCTTTTCCATTATTTTCATTACACAATTAAGTTTAAAGGCATGTTTTGGAAAAACGCTCTTCTCATTATTAGTACATAGTATTGGGTGTGCTGGACATGTATCTAAGAAATGAAAWTAAAGCTAAAAGTAAGCAAAAATATTGCTACTCACATCATAGCCTGTAATGGCTATCTGGTGCATAGAATCATTAACTGCTTTAAGAATGCCCAGTATAGAAGTCAGTGCTTCCTGAAGATCCTCAGCACCTTCACAGTTCTTACTGTACTTCAGCATTTCCTGCGTGGAAGGGAATGACAACACACTACTTAGTTTTTTGAAAGAGTAGCAACCAGGAATGTTGGARTTTTAACACTGAATTTTAGGCAAGGAGGTTGGAACGAGATGATCTTTAAGGTTCCTTCCAATGCAAATCATTCTATGATTCTGTGATTTTAAAGTTAGCAAAGTAAAGCTTTATAATATATATAGTTAGTTCAATACAGGAACTCAACAGACCCTAATGATTTACTTCTCATCTCTGCTGCTAATTAGCCCAATATATTTTATTCATCTTGAGGTTTTGTAAGCTCTAGGTAAGCATTTTACAAGACTAACTTCACAAACATTTTTTTCATGCCAATTGCAAAAAACCAAAACCAAACCAGAAATCCTCAAATGAAAGGACAGGGTTTTTTTTTTTTTCTTTTCATTTGCCACTTTCTAGAAGTAAACAAAAGAAACATAGTCAAATTTAATTTACTCTTTTAATTATGGAAAGACCTGGGATGTTAGTAACAGATTTAAATACTGCACTGAGTATTGTCKACACATTTAAAAAGGAATCCCTTCTCTAGGGAAGCTGCATCTTCCAATTTGATACAGATAAACCCAGGYGCAAGTTMATGTAGAACTCYTCRGACTTCACAGTATGAAAATAARSTTTTAYTCATGTAATGGACTTTAGGAGGTGAAGATATTTARGTCAAAAACCTTTATAATTCTCTCTTTACACGAGTCTAACATAATTAATTCTTTAAAGGCTGTTAACACCTCAGTTTTAACTCAAGAGTAAATCTGGATCAAGATAAATTTTTAAGCTACTGTTAAATACAATTATGTTTTGTGAGAAATATTTCTTAGTTCAAACATGGAAAAATGTTATGCATTATTTTAAATAGATTTATTATAGTATATTGCTTTTWTTTAGCTCTCTCAGAATAGCACATTTAAGTGAATCACAACAGCGTCCTCCCTATACAATGCTCTCTGTCAAGTGCATTTCCCAGAGCCCAGCAAGGCAAGTTCCTGCAATAYGGGAGGGGTGACTATAACTCAAGAGTAACAAGTACTTCTGATACTCTATCTTCTTTGTTTCAACGTTTTCTTGGACTTTCTATTTTCCCCTCAGCAACTTTTCACCTTTTCAGCTGAAATCTAAGGGCAAAAGTAGTTATACAAGATGTCTCTGTATAACATTTGCTTATTAGGAGTTTTTTGCTTGAAAGAAAAAAGAMCTGCCAGACTGGGATTTGTGTGTTTCCATTTATTCACCTGTTCACTAACTTTTAGGTTTCTCTCCAGCAAGCTGAGAGAAGCAGCATTTAAAAACCAAATGCACAAAATGGGCTTAGCATTATAGCTTAGTAACACATACCTTTAGTAATAATTGGTACTTGGTTATTCTTTGAACRGGTTTCAGCAAGTATGAGTCCAAACTGAGCTTGTGGTCGAGTTTCCTTTGACATTCCTGTAATCAGTTTTGGATTTCATCAGGACACTAATCAATCTTTGTGTTACTTGTTCTTGAAAAGATTCAGTTAAAATAAACCAAACAAAAAAACCCCAGACCCCAGCAAAATCAAAGYCACCATTATTTTAGGGATTCAAGCAAGCTTACCTGAAAGAAYACAGAGTCTGAAAACTGCCTCCACAAACTTTCAGATCGAGGTTTATTTTGACAGTATTTTTCATAAATCTGGAAGTCTTCCATCTGGAATTGGGGAGACAAGCAAAAAGTTAGTAAATTGTTGTGACTTTAATAGACAAATTTCATAATAATTTTTTTCATTATCAAGAATGCTATGAAAAAAAACCCAACAACAAAAATGGAATCATTGTTTTTTGCTTGGGATGCCTCAAGGAATTGCAAAATCACTGATTTCAAAATGGCTACTAATTTGGTACTTGCACAATAAAATATTTCTGCTATTTTTTGCTTCAGTTGAATGTTAAACACCTTATGAAAAAGCACATGTTAAATTTACAAATATATTTCTACTACAATATGAAAAATATCTCTGTGAGTGCCCAGCCATTAGACCCACTGTGCAACTTTTTTTTAAAAAAGACTTTGTCCTCTTTCTTTATTTTTATTTCATAAATATGTTTGTCACTGGGAGTCACACTAGGGTAAACCAAGCAGTTTGTTCCTCCTTGTAACTTCAGAAACTAAATAGCATGACTTCAGTACTTGCTGGATGTGAAAGGAAATAAAGACTGTAGAAAACGTCATAGTAACTACAGATATAAAATAAAGACCAGATAGGAAATCAACAGGCACAGAAGTAACTCCATCCCTCAGTTTTAGGAAACAGCTTCTCCATGGATGTAGTCAATAAATAGAAGAGGGAGGGAAGGCTCCTCCCAGGAGCTTTAGAGCATCAAGAGGCAGCACCAACAGAGACTGATTTCCATATGCACATTCTTAGCCTTTAGTATACTACAGGTGAGACTCATTGTTTAGCACATCCCCAATTAAAAAAGTTTAATTTTGTCACAGCTTTTTATTTTCAGAATAAAAATGYTTTGGACTTACTCTGTTGAGGTGTTCTCTTTAAAGAAAACAGAAAAGAACAACCACAACAATCCAATAAAGAAATCTAACCAAGTAATCCAACCATTTTTAGTGATGTCAAACAATGCAGTGCATGACACCTCTTCACACTTTCCTAACYGCCACTTTAAAGCAGCAGCTTTCTTAATTGTGCTTCACAGGGGAAAACACCTCCAGCTCTTCAATTAACAMCTACATTCTCAACCTATCAAACGCTCAGGACAAACAAAGGGGATGTGGTGGCAATTACTACATGAGAATCACTCCCAGGTGTTAGAGTCCTACAGGGCTTGTGAACAAAGTGCCAGCAAAAGGCCACACATACCTGATCCAGAAAGCACCGTCCYACTAGTTCTGGGTATTCTACATAGGTTTCTAGTTCTCTCAAGAATATTCTATGAGGAAGAAAATTTTCTTAGAGCACACATTAAAGAAAGCTGTCATAATCACACTGTTGCAATTAGTTTTCTAAATTTTTGAAAATGGAGTTGTAATTCCATGCTACAAAACTAAACATATAAAAAAAATTATGTTAAAAAAAAAAATTAAAAAAATCTTCTAGATTATGTACTTTAAAAGGGATAGCAAATTAGAACAAATATTCTGACCAATTTCTTTTGGCTTACTGTTGCTACAACTGAAATAAAAAATAGGGCTGGGTAAGGAAGGAGGATTTGGYTTCCTTGCCTTATGTATTCAGCAGCAGGGTTTGTACAGTTTAAAGTGTTTGGGTTTTGCTTCCAAATACTACCAAATACCACAAATCAACCAACCCAAAACCCACCTTCCCAAATCTAAAAAGAAACACACATAAAAAATAAAAAAAAAAAATAAAAAAAAAAATCAGTGGCAAAACTTTCGTTCTAGTTTTGCCTGAATAAGCAGCAACTAATTAATATGCTTAACTTCTCTTGAAAACCAATTTCTCTTTCCTATAAATGTAAATATTATCTAAATATTATCCTATGAAGGAATACCTCTCTAACAGCAAGGATTCAAACTTCAGAAAGGAAACCCAATATAAATTTTAATATATATACATATGTGTTTTTTATAGGAAATATATAATGTGTTCTGTAGAWATACAAAATTAATCATGCTCAAGCAGATGTAAGAGTTGAGAATTTGTGGTTAAGAACAATAATTCACTTTCTATRACAAAAGTAATAATAAAAAAAMCSAAACACAAATGAAATGTRCTTTAACTATATTGTAACCAAATCCAAATATTCTAATATCTTGCTTCAGAAAGAGGACCACAATGCAAAATTCTACCTGCGTACCGCAAATACAGTTTCATACAACTTTGCTCATCTTTTATAGATATTTTGCTTTTCCTCCTCTATGCAATACAATGTTGACATGCCAGATAGACAAGTAGAACTCAGTAAGGATCATTCAGCAATTTAAAGCAGATTAAAATATGAAGTGAAGAAAGAATCACATCCAAAAGGCTTTTAGAAGTAAATGTAAATCCTCACCTGTTGTGAAAGTGATAAATTTCTTCCATATTCCCAAACAAGATATCCTTCTTATTTTGCAGTTCTGGTGAGATGAGATGAGCCATTAAGGGGTTGTCCATCTCTGCAGCATAACCCTGCAACACAGGAGAGAGGCACAATGACTATCCCCCTTCACTTGTGGTACTTCTYTCTCTACCAAGGCAGTCTGCCTTCAGGCTGACAGACAAGAAAGAGCTCAGAATRAATCATGAAAGCTCAATAAAAATTCTGGTTTTCCAT